GTGCGCGGCTGTGATATTCTGTGTGCACGTTTTTGGAAGATTCCCATATGTTATTCATTGCTTGCGTTAACACGTATGTTGTGGTTTTATTAAAATCTTTTTTCTGCGTCACCCCTTGTTCTTTTCTTCATTAAGTATATGTGTACTTTTCTGGTTTATATGGCTTTAACTTGATGAACGTCTTCAGTCGTCGTTAAATAAATACAGTTTTATGGCGAAATTTATCTGCACAATCTACGGAGCGTCCGTTTGTTGGATACTGTCAGAAACATCCCACTGCGTTAGAGAACTATCCATCATATAACTGATGTGGATATTAGAAAAGTTGCCAGAAGTGGATGTGACATTGTTTAAAGAAATCATCGAACAACATCATGAGACAAGCACTAACTTGGAATCTTGAAAGCGATTGGAAAACATGAAGACCAAACAACATATTGTGCCAAAAATAGGAAGCAGATATGAGAATGTCGAATAGCAATGGGAAAGAAGTGGTAAGGATCACTGAAGACATAGTTGTGTGGAGAATGCTGGTTGGTGGTCTGTGCTCCTCCACAATTGACAACTGACGTTATTACGTATGTATGATCATTTTGTATTTATCTAGTTGTTGAGTCGTCTTAAGGAAATTATAACGGTGCCAACAGAGGCTCTAAATTAGCCGAAGAGTTTCAGCCAATCAGAACATGATGGAGCTTTTTGGAAAATGAACGTGTTATGCTACTGTTGGTCAGTAACGTAATATGTTTCTTAGCGGATTGACAAAAATATAATGTTGATTTAGCGAATGCATATGTCTATAAATAACCGTGAATTTTTGTACACTTTGATTCTTAGCGAATAAACTCTTCTCCAACTTTTCTTCTGTTTTCTGAGTTGCGACGGTGAAGTTCAATGTTCGAGTGTTGTAGTCGTAAACCGTATTCTGAGTCAATCAAGTAGAAAACTTAACACTACTAATCAATATTTCTTCCGAAGTTACGATGTTTCTGTCTTTCTGCATTCTTATCTTTGCTTTATTTATTTTGCAGTTAGTTGTTTATGTTTTTGTCCAACACCTATGATTTTGTGGCGCTGAGGAGCGAGTTTAACCAGTGTTCCTGATGGCCAATTAAACTTTTATTATGACTGCCCGTATTTTTTTCATTCAATTTCATTGACATTTTTTCCTTTGCAGTTTCATCATCTACATACTCACCTTTCAGTAAGTCGATCGCTAGTTTATTTTCATAAAAAGTGTCAGTACATTTCCATAATAATTCATATTCTTCTACATCGTGGAGTAACGGTAAAAACGTTTAGTTGCTTTATTTTTAGACTTCGCTGAATCTTTGTTAAATAACATGGGTTGGGATTCGTTTATTTTACAATCACTGGTTCGATTTTGGTACTGTCTGCCTTTTCAATCACTCCTCTGCTGCTTATATTTTCGATTCTACATTTTGATATAGATAAGCTTGGATTCGCAAACGAATATAAATCATCTTTCATTGCCGTGTTTCTTAATTTCTTCAGTGTGATTTTCAGTAATTTGTATCGAGTAATGGCTATTGTGTAGGATTCTGTGCACTCATATTGCCGGTACACATTATATTTTATATGTAACTAAAAAGTTTCATTATTGTTTATTTATTTTAATTTTCAGGATCCTACTCATACAAATATTTATCCATGAAGATAGAACATATCATTACTGTGTTTATGCCTGTTATCTTATCACACATTCTCTTATCTTAGTGTGCAATCGTGCTTTATCACGAAAGTTTGGATTTCTCAATAACTTACAGAAAATATTTATGTAAAACACTTTAAAAAATGTAGTCCGTTTTGGTCAGTATATGCCTTTAGATATGTCATAATCCATATTATGATTTTGAACATGTATCTTGTTCAATTTGCATATTTAAAAATTCGGTTGTAACTTAGATAATTTTGGTCATCATTTTGAGACACGCATTAAACGTCCATCATTGACTTTCCACTTGTTTTCTTCATTGTTCAATAAGTCCAAGGTTTGATAACATTTGGTAAAATATGTAAAGCGACATACGTTTTGTGTAAAAATGCGAACGTAGTTACATGAAAAATCTTGAATTTCTAAGTCTTATCACATTTATATAACGCAGAATAGTACTAAATATTTAGCAAGATGTGAGTCACTCATATATTTGTTTTCATTTAAACCCTACTAAGGGACGTTATTTAAACTTTACGAACTGGTATGATACCAGGAGGACATTTAAATATTTTTCATGAACTTGGAAGTTAAAAACGCTTTAATCTATCGCAACGATTCACTACAGACTTCATTTCGTTATGAAAGGTAACATGAGGAATATACGTCACTTTTAGTAAATAAAAACGTTTCGCTTTCCGACGCCGTTTTACAGGTTCCTTCAAGGTCAAATGAAAGTGAAAGATTATTTTAATTAACTATAAATGAAGAAACTCAATGCTTTTAAGAGTTGGATCATGGCACTTAATCCGCGAGATACTTTTCCAGTAACTGAAAACATCAACTTTTTCCTTCCACTAGCCAGTTTCGTTAGTTATTATGTCTCATATTATTGCACCTAGCAAAAATAGAAAAGCAATGTAAAGTCTATTTTACTCGAATTATTTTCCTGAAACGGGTACTGTACATTGGTTTCACCTCAAATAAAGCAGCCGATATCTTGTCATAAATTATTCTTTTCGTGATCCTTAAGATAACTGGGCCGTAATTTCTAAATAAATCCAAATTTGCAGATAATAGCAGGAAATATGGCTGTCGTCTTACCAAAAAAATATTAATTGTTGGACATGAAAGTAAATTATTTGAAAAGATCTGAGTTTTAGTTAGCTGATGAAAGATGGGTTGCGTCTGGCTCGAACACTGAACTAACAA